CAGACATATATTTATTGTAAAATCAAACTCATTCGCCGAATGTAAACAAACCGCGCGATTGCACAAACGCTTATCTATGGCATGGAACACCAAAATCCGATAAATAATTTTAAAAAATGTGTTTCTCCGGAAGAAAACCGAAGGTTTTCAGGATTTTTTAGAAATATCCGGATATATCCGGAAGACTTTCATTATTATGTAACTATTTCATTCACACATGTTTATATTAATCCAGTTCTCCTGTAATAAAACATTAGGTTTTAAACAAAAATTGCAAGGGCACAATTACATTTAAAATTGCAATTAACGTCCTTATTTCTGATAGGTGGTCAGATTATATGTCAACTCTTAAAATTTCAAACTCAACAGCCGTAAGAGTTTGGAGTAATAAATAAATAAATATATATATATATATATATATATATATACTGTAGTATCTTTTATAACTCACAAAACTATATATAATCAGTCTCACTGTATCCTAAAGATTAATTTTTGTTGATTTTTTTTATTTATCAGGTGCTGCCATTTTGCTCATGATTTTTTCATGTACACCAAAAATCCAGCTTGATCGATGATATTTTTCAAATCAGCATATTCAAATTAAGAAAACAGCCCGTCAACCAAATTTTCCTCAAACATGATTCCCACACTGAATTTTTACAAAATGAGCCTAGTTTACACAATATTAAGCACAATAAAGTGAACATTTCATTTGTCATAAGAAAAAAGTATATAATAATAAATAATATTAGAAGAACATGTTACCAATAATGATTGTTCCTTCAATTTTTTCTAATATGAATCTGGCCTGATTTTCTAACTTTCTGGATTCTGCTGACAACATTCCTTCTAGATAAGCCTTACGTCTGTTATAGAAATCCAATCGAACATTGAAGAACTCTTTTAAAATCTCTTCTGGACTATCATAACGTTTCAAAACCCCTTTGTGATCAAATAAAACCTAAGAAGAAAGTAGTTACGTCATAGAACATGAACATCTTCTAAGAACAGTTTTAAAACACGAGACAAAACAAAGCAATTGTAAATTTAAATTATCAAACATACCTAAAATGATTTCTACTATAAAAGGATGTTTATTTTATTAACTTCTGGAATAAATGAGTGAGAAATACAGTACAGAATAATATACGTAAAAGATTTAAACCGATGCAAGTACCTATTCTACCATTTCTAGAATAGACTACAATGTTCATTTAAAACTGAAAGTTTGAACTGACTAATCCATCCATAATTGACATCACTTACCATGGAAGTTGTAGTAATGGTGGATTGAAGTTTGAAGATTTTATGTAAGCCTTCTTCATAAATTTTACCCAATTTGTCTTCACTCAAAGACACAACAAACTTTACTGTGGTATCTGTATGATACTCCTTGTAATCACTGAAAAAACATTTAATGAAAGAAATATACGTATAAACATTTATTACATATGAACAAGTATACACAAAACATTGTTTTGCCTATGCAAATACAAAATGTTTTATAAAATCACACATTTTTTTGTACTTTAGAAAGCAGAGGCATGTGATCTATCTATATATATATATATAAAATTACTGAATCTCATGTTCAAGATTAGCACTAAATTTTGTCTATTTGTGATAAGACTCCAAAACATGTTTTTTAAAGTTATCTTTTCATTAAAATATTAAACACAAGATTCTAAGTAATCAACCTCGTTTTGCAGCATATTTATCATCTAAATATATATGTTAATACAATATATTTTCTAATGTTGATTAATGTGATTAGGATTTCTGTGATGTACCTATACCGGGATGTTTCTATGATTTTAAATACTTTTACACAGTCCTTATACTGATAATAATAGAACATAATACCTTCTAAATCACAAAACTAAAACAGTAATATAAAGATAATCAAAGTAGCTACATCATAGAGACAGTCAACTTACGTGATGAGTGGTGAGATTTTCTCTGTGCCATACAACATTGGTTCAAGAACCTGTTCCTTGTACTGCTGTGTCCAAGTGCGTACTGGCAACTCAGATATCTCAATCTTATTTTTCTCCAAGACAGATACTTCCCCACTAATGACAAACCTCTGGTTATCCAACTGTTCAATAGTACCTTTGAAGTTTTTGAACCAGGGTTTCTAAGAAAGTAAGTAGCATCAAAAGATATAAACTACTGGTATGATATCATAAGTTTGCAAATATCTTACTTTAAAAAAATAACAAAATGTAGCTTAAATCTTTTCTTCAATTTAAGGCATATTATTTGAATAAATTCCCTTTTTTTTTGGAGCTGAAACAATGCAAGTTTCTTCAAGAATTAACTGTCTCTTGGTGGTTTAAGAAAGAAAAAAAAAAAAATTCAATTTTCATCTTGTCACACAGCTACAAGTTTCTCTTTCTAGCTAGCTTATGGTCATTACCAGTGTTCCCTCTAAGCTGCACAACAACCAATCAAATGTTGTGCAATTAATTACTCTAGCCGCACATATCCTCAGCAATGTTGAGGAGTCTCAACACGTTGACAGTCTTAATGACCCTGGCAGTCGATAGACCTAAAGCCAAAATAACCAACTGGTAGTACTGCAAAGTGGCCTAATGATTCAATAGGGTTGATGAGCTAAAAATACCCCCCTCCCCAAACAACAACAAAAAACTGATGCACATGAAAAAATTTATTATGCACATGGATTGAAAAAATGAGGGAACATTGATCATTACCTCTCAGTTTTGAGCAAACTGTTACTGAACAGATGCTTGTGCATTATGAAGCTTACCATTGGTTGTGGTTCTTCACCATCCAACATTCTTTGAATATTTTCAATGATCTCTCTTGGATTATAATTTGGAATTTTGGTACTCCAACCAGTACCAATACCTTCTGTTCCATTTACAAGCAACATTGGAATTATGGGTACATAGTATTCAGGCTCAATCTTCTGGTTGTCTTCATACAGATGACACAGTAGTGGATCATCATTAGATGGGAAGATGTGCCGAGCCAAAGAACTGAAAAAAAGGGGGGGAAACATTATTTTCCACTGCACATTGAAAATCCAATATCAGGTTTTGCTTTTTTATTTCACTTCTGTCAGTAAATTTAAATGCAATATTATAAACTAACTTTATATGGTGCTTTTTTACAAAGTAAATGTCTCAGCATTTATGTTTATTGAGTAAAGACCCACAAAATATACGAAAACGATTCTTTTACATCAAGAACAAAAACTCTCATCATTTTCATGGATGTTTTGTATAAAAGTACAATACCATCACCATAAACTGTGGCATACTATCAAGAAATTCTTCTTTCATGAACCTATAAATAGAGTGCATAAAAGGAAAATAAGCAAACCATTTATTTTTGGCGATAAGCAACTTCAACTTAATTTTCAAGCTATTTTCCACACGTTTTCTTATAAGTCATAATGGTATAAATGAAAATGATTCATCAATGTCGGATATATCTTGTGGTGCAGAATTAACATTATATCTTAACACGTATCTTCATTACCATGATATTGAAATTCAGAACATGAATGATTCCCTATTAACTTGAAAAAGGAATTCATGTTACACAAAGGCTTGCCTTGCAGCAAAAATGAGAAGTGCTTCAAATGTTAAATGTATCAAAATTATAAAATTGTACAGACCTAAAGTTCTCTTACGGTTATAGCCTACCTGAGCATGGTAAAGATGTATCGAGGGCTGGCAGAATCTTTTCCTCCCTGAAGACGTGTGCCAAACTGACCGATTGGCTGTAGAAGGTTTATGTTGTTACTACCCACAAAGTTTTGGGCTAAGTTAATGATAGTTGCCATCAAGGAATTCTAAAAATATAAAGTTACCAATATAAACACTAAGGACATTTCATTTAATAAGCCTAATAATCAAATATACTATAGAATGGTTATTAGAGCCTGTTGCTAGGATTATATTGTAATATACAATTTAGTTCAGAACATTTTGATTTCAAATTTAACCTGAAAAGCATCTTACACAACACATGGGATAAACATGGCTGCTAAATACTGATTTGTTTTTCAATGTTTAGTCTCAAATGACATAAAACTATCATTTTAAAAATGTTTTAAGAATATCTTTCTTATATTATTTTGCAGTTATACAATACAATACTTCATACTGAATGATTATTCTCAGAATAATGTAGAAATGTTATAAAACAAACATATATCATAATAAATTGTAATATTCAATCTATATTTTCCTGTTTCAGATAAATGGTATAAAGATTCAGCAATAACAGCAGTGATGGAGATGTGCTTCATCTGCAATGAATCCACAACTGATGGACAGCCAGTTGTTGCTCTAGAAGCAATGAGCAGTAATGGTGTAAATTGTGCAAGTCTGCAATGTGGCAGTAACTTGAAAAGTGTTCCAGGACAAAGAGTACATGTGAAATGTTATTCAGTTATTGCAAACCACAAAACATGATATAGCACCACCTCAGCAAATTGTGGGAAAATGCATAGATCTCTGTTCATGCAAAACACATTCACTTTTCAAGATTACTGGTAAGGGCTATAGACAGCCAGACCCTAGAGCTCAACTCCAAGTAGACACAGAAGTTTGATTTGAGGACCACCAACATGGCTTTATAAGTTGTATTACATTTTTGTATAAAAAGGAAGGTTTGCCACTAAGATAGAATTTGAGAGGGATTTTGATACAGTGATATATTTTTTTAATGTTAACTTGTTTTGTTTGAACTTTAGACCCTTTATATTGATGTGGTGAAACTTTAAGTAGAACATCGGGCATTTCTGATATTTAACCTTAAATTATTGTATCAGACTTGAGTAATATTTTCAATTGAATTTGAAAGTAAAGTTAACTTGAGTTTTAACTTTTAGTAAGCGGACTTACCGTTTGGTCTACTTTTAAGTTTAGCATTTGCTAAGAAGTAAATCTTTAGTTTTATCTAACTTGACAATATTAACTTTGGAGTTTCCTTTTATTCTTATATTTTGAAGTTTTAGTTTAGCTTATACTGGGGAGGTGACACCAAACTGATAGGAACTTTCACTTTTCTCTTATTGGTTTGACACACACCACTAGATATTTTCACTTGTTTCCATTTCATCATTGTATCGTGATTTTATAAATAAAAGATCCTGATTGTAGTTTGGAGGAATCAATGAACTCCATATTCTGCTGTTCTATGAACTTCCAATTAACAGGCTTATCTGATAATTCTGAAGGAAAACCATTTTACAAGAAATACACTTATTGGAAGCTGTAAATTAAGAATTAATTGATGCTTTTTAAGTCAATCATACTCTTACAAACTCTTCATAATAAATAAAACAGAAGTATTTTTAGTACACAGTTGTAAGCTAAGATATTTCTGATATCTTTTTTATAACAAGAATATAAACCATGTCAGTCAGTACCTAAGCATATACATTTATGAAATAGTAATGTTCTTACTTCACCATGATGATACGCAGAATGTTCTGCAACGGATCCAGCAAACTGTGCAACCTTGATTTCTCGTTTGTCATTTCTTTTGAAACAGGTGAATATTACTTTCCTTTGTCCTGGCTTTAACCCTAATCAAAATACAATAAACCCAGAAACTTCACTTTTAATAGTTTTGGGTATAAATACTAACCATTCCTCTTCTTAAATCGCTGGTTTTAATTATAATAGAAGTGCTGTCATTATTATTGCTACAACAAGTTTATAGTCCACTGCAAAAATCGATCAAGAAAACGATTTAGAATTTGACACACTTTAAGAATCATAGTTGGACTGTGTAGAGCAGCACATTTTAAAAACAATTTCAAATCTATAAGAACAATAAAGATTGCTTATTTAAAGCTTATATTTTTGATCCTAAATGTGTAAAATTTCTATAATGATCACAGCCCAATTACTTCTTTCCATCTGGTAACAGAAACTCAAATAACATTTCTATAATTTGAAATCCATAATGGACAACATTTAAAACCATATGTATGTGTGTGTGTGTGTGTAGGTAGTGCTTTTGTAGCCCAATCTGATAATCAAATTGAAAAGCCATCTGTAGTCTGTCACATAAGTCTTGGATACTAATAATAAATTGCTAAATATATGACAAATTTTATTCAGGTTTGCTGGCAATAAAACTTTTTTGATAATCAACATATTCATTTGTAAGATACTTGTTAATCATTTTATTTCATTAACAAGCAATCTTTGACTCAATGGAAAAAAAATATGACCATTTTGGTAGATCGTGAAGTATCCAAATCAAGTTCAAAATCCTAAGAGTGACGTACATGACTGTATAGGGCATGATCCAGGGTTAATTTTGTCATAATGTTTCCTTTATTTCAAGTAGTTGTTAAGCTGTTCCTATCCTACTAAAGGTTATGCTATTTGACATTATTTTAGTACTCCTCTTATCCTTGTAACATTCTTTCACTTCACTCACAAAATGCCTTTGTATTTTCCATTCCTTGTCTGATCTTGAATCATTTTCTTTCTTCTGCTGTAATCCCTGTTTGAGGTCAAGTTCTCTAATACATCCATAAGTTTATTTCTCCTGTATGTAGAGTCCCAGATGGACCTAGCTTTGGGCACTTGACAACACCCCTCCTCCAAACCTTTTCTAAACTTTCTTATGGCTAACTTGTTGAATTGGTGTGTTGTCACATCCATATCAACTACATTTTTAACACATTAGACATTTTGCTACTTTACATTTGCAGGTTAGCTTTGACCTTGTTTATTTCTCAACTAGAACAAACACTCAGAAATTCTGGCTCATTGTCATAGCATTTTTTCACAGGTTTGGAAATGATGAGTATTCCATAGATAATGTACTAAAACAATGCCATGACCATATTTTGAATTAAGATAAAAAAAATTATTCAAATCTTCTGACAAAAAACTAATCATAACATCTGTAGCTGTTACAAAAGTGGGTTCCTCATAAAATAATGCATATTCCTGTATATTTCCAGAAGAAAAAAAAAATAGAGACTAAATATAGGATATGGTTCCTAAGAAGTACCCTACCATTTCTGCTGCTATTGAGTCAGACTGCTTGTTAATTTACATTTGTATGTGTGTGTGTGTGGTGTAGAAATTTAAAGGAATTTGACAAAATTAGTAAAAATTACAAAGATAAATCAATATACATAATAAATACTAATAAAATAAAGAAAACTGAAAGTACAACATACCATCTACAAGAGATGGAATAGACCTTTCATTGTCCATATTACTAAAAAGAATCAGCTCCCTATTCACAAAGTCATTGTAAGTAACATGGGTTGTTGTCTTTTCATACAAGTACAACTGCAAAAAAACAAAACAAAAAAACAATAAGAACCTCAAACAGAGTATTCTAATTTATCTATCAAACGTAAAAATGATTTGTCAGTTTTTAATTGCCTGTTGGTCTTTTTTGAACCACCCTAATCAGTGTTCCCTCTAAACTGCAAGGCCACACAACAAACAATCAAATGACGTGCACTTAATTATTCCAGCCGCACACATTCTCAGTAATGGTGAGGAGTCTAAATACGTTGACGGCCTTAATTACCCTGGTAATCGATAAGCCTAAAGCCCAAATAACCAACTGGTAACATTGCAAAGCAGCCTAATGATTCAATAGGGTTGATGGTCTATAAAACAATAACAACAACAACAAAAGAAAAACAAAAAAAACAGGTAGCGCGCATGAAAAAATTAGAGGGATCATTGATTTAATCCATTGTAAGATCAATGAAGACCATAAGAAAATTAATTACAGTTTAAATCATGCCTAAGAAAAAGTTGAATAGTCTATACATTTTTTAAAAATTTATTCTAGAAACCCAACTTTGTTTTCAATGTTTTTTTTATTTTAATGAACAATGTAAAACAATATTTAACAGGGGTTTAGCTAAAGAAACAGAGAAAAAATAAACCTCTGGCAGCCCAAGTTCTCGTCGTTGTTTTCGTTCTTCCATGCCACTGGTAAGCCAGTCTTTTCTTTGTTCAATCATTTTTTTACTGAAAGCCTAATAAATGTTAAAAAATAAATAATAACTATTTTGAATGGGTATAAAAAATTGTATAGTTCTTTTTTAATTTGGCTCTAAATTTTAGAGTGATAGGTCAAGTTTTCATATAGGTAATCCCAAAAGTTATTTATATAAATATATATATATAGCTAAGAACTTTAATGAAATAAATTCCCCCTTACATTTTAGCTCTACTTTTACATGTAGTGTATTAAATGTCAGTTTTCTGAATAAAACATGTTAAAATAAGAGTCAGATTTATCTTGAAACCAATTTGAAGTTTGTAGAGCAAAGAATAAATGAAATTAGTAATGCTTTAAAATTAAGTTGATTGAAATTTAGTAAAACATATGCAATTTAAAAGAAAATTTCCTATATCAATCACTATACTTCTTTTTACATATATTCAAGTACTAAAATCAGATATCTTTCCACAAACTTACTAACTGAATAGCATCATCATCTTCGGGTCCTTGGTACTGAAATTTTATCCTGTGTCGATTCATATCAGCAAAGTACTCTTTGGCTTCCTTTGCAGTACTAGTACCAAGACCTAGGTAGTGAAATGTTTGGCATTAAGCTAAAAATTCATCTCAGTTCAAATGTTCATAAATGTGAGGACAGTAGTGTTATGCAATATGTTAGTTAAATATGTAACAAAATTAAAACAATTATGTTTCATGATCCAGTATTTGCTGGTTATGAAAAGTCAATCCTATGTGCATGGTGTCAGAACTTTGAGCTAAACAGTCATACTGGAAAATTAGTGTTTACAATAATTTTGAATTCACTAAATATATCTTCATAATAGTTAGTAAGCTTTTAGTAAACATTAAAAGTATGCTGTACACAATAAGACACCAATATTTTTACTTAATATCTGTCAATTTACCGAGTCTGTCTGAGTGCAAAGCGATTGTCATGTTAGGAATAAAAATTCTTTTTATCCAATAGTTTCCACATTTCATTTTTATAATCTCTAGAGCTTCTTAAATGAATAACTTTTTTTGGTAAAACTTTACACTTTATCTTTTACTTTCTCTACCTTAACATCAACTGCAGCAAGATCACCAATGCAGAGTAAAATGATAAGTTGAAAAACATAAAATAAATCTAAACTACTTTTTTCTTCTTTCTAGAAAGACTGCATATTGTAACAATTGTAAACTTTATTCTTACAGCTATAACTAATTTTACAAATATAGGTTCATTTAGTTTGAATGTTTAATAACCATACACCAGAGTGCACCAAAAGCCATTTATCATAGTCAGAGCTTTGAGTAAACAAATAACCAAGCTACAAGCACATCATGGTTGAATTACAATTACATCTCATGACGTACATGTGCCATAATAGAGTATCACAATAATTTTTTTTTCATTTAAGTTTTAATATCTAACCTAATAAGTTTCTAATTTTTACATTTTAATTTCCTTCATAATAATAAATAAATGATATATATAAAAATAAGAAATTTAGTACTCATGTCTGAACCCTTATCTTTCTGCCAATTGCAGAAAATAAACTGAGGCTTAGTATTTCCAAACATGGCACCTAATTTTTTTGGAAGACTGGATGAGATATGAGGGGCATGGCATATGCATTTAACTTTTTTGTTTATATCTCAGTAAAGCAAGAAGCTTGGAGGCTATATGTTTACATTGTGGTTTAGTCATGTCTTTAAGTGGCAAATTAAAAAGATCATATAGGGGTAAATAGAAAAATATAAAATAGGCAATTCAGAGTGAAGAGGTGTCATGTGTTACAGAGGAGTCAACACTGGAAATTCATTTAAATATATCTCTTGGAAATTAAAACTTAGATAACAAAAATTTTGAGTTATAAACTACTTTTAATGCCAAACTTATTTACAAAGACTGTTAATAAAGTTGTTTAATTTTAATTAAGTAAATTTTTAATGTAACACAAAAAGATTACAACCTGCTCACTTTGAATCCAACCCACAAACATAGGGTTAAGCATTAAAACTTTTGGTTACAGTGGCACTTTTATCCACAGAAAATACCTTGATGATAACCGACTTCAACATTAATCCAGAGGATCCTTCAACTAATATCTTTGTTTTTTTTTAAAGTATTTCATTTGTAACTTAGCCATATAAACTATTACTATTTCACAATCCATAAACTCACTTTAACAAAAATTGGATACCTTTGTAGTACTTGACCTTCCAAGTGTTCCAATTTGATGATTTTGCTTTCCATTCTTCAAATTCTGGTAAACTAAAAAAACTTTTTTCTTCTTTACCTTTTGTAACCTGTTTATAAATAAAACCTTGATTTTTCTACAAACTTCCACATACAGACAACTTTTATTCTATCTATATGTATAAAAAAAAGTTATCCACACTATTTTCTTTTTCACTTCTACCTTCTCCCACACCATTAATAATTTTGTTTGTTCATCCTAGCAGTCGCACATTGTACATACAATTGATTTCTTAGATCTAAACATAAGTCTGAATTTTAAAGTTTCAGAATGAAACTAGGAATGATCAGCTAATAATTTGGATGATTTTTCAGGTTTACTTATATAACATCATGTTTAGTTTTTAGCGCAGTTTATCCTCAAACCATGATGACAAATTGCTTGTATTTCTTTAATTTTCATTTAAGTATCAGCACCAATCTGTAATTAAACTAAGTTTCAAGCTTATTCCTACCTGTAGAAACAATTTGATCAGTGAGAGCAATAAGTGAAATGAATCATATTAGAATTCTCTTGATACTAAATTGTTTGTTTGACTTGCATTGATGAGCTTTTTTTATGCAAACATTTATATTTACATCATTAAACAGTTTTATTTCCATTCATTAAAAAATAGTGAAAAATACAAAATTCTGTTATATGTATATAACAAAACAAATAATGCAATGACAATATAAAACAAAATACCTTCACAATGGGGGTGATAAATTCCTCCAGAAATGGAAGTCTTAACAAGCTGGGCCAATTATGATGGATAAAGTTGATCAGGAGACCTTTGATGTGTGAACCATCTTGATCCTGATCTGTCATGATCATTAATCTTCCATAACGCAGTGATTTCAAGTCTTCTATGCTCTCATACTTTTTCTTATACTGCAGGCCCATAATCTTGATAATGTTATTGATTTCTGCATTTTCTAAGATCTATAGAAGAATAATTATAATAACATAGCTGTAGACTTTTATCAGCCAGATAAATAATAACAAAGTTACATCTAAAAATATGTTGTTTTTCAAACAAAAGAGAAAATACAAACATTTACCAATATATTTTATCAACTCAGTCTATACCATCAATATCACTTTTTCTACAACATGTAAAAGTAGCGGCATATTCTCCATTAAACACCCTATTTCAATGACCATTAGGATACAAAACAAATTTCACCAAGCAAAAATAACAGTAACCAGCTGTCCTATTACAATTCTAGATTAATCACAATAAATTTCAACTATTCCAAAAGAAACTGACTTACCTGTTTATGAGTTGCTTCCCTCACATTCAGTATCTTTCCTTTTAAGGGGAAAACTCCATATTTATCTCTACCCACAACACCAAGGCCAGACACAGCCAGAGATTTGGCTGAATCTCCCTCAGTGAGGATGAGAGTACAGTTGATAGAGTTTTTAGTGCCAGCATCATTGGCATCTTCTAACTTAGGAACACCCTTGAGCTTTGAATGTTTCTTAGAGCTGCATTTTGTGTTCAACTGAGTCTGAAAGATCATGACATTTTTTGTAAAACCAAACTTTCATCAACTGGCTTCTGATAAAAATGATTTTTCATTAACAAATAAATTAAACTAACAACCAAAGGAATAAATCTGAAGATAGCACAAAGGAATCAAACATGCTGAAATACTTATAAATTTACAAACGGTTCTTCTAGTGGCAGATGACATTCACAGCTTTATCAATAAATACTGTATCAGTTAGAGCAAACCAAATTTGTATTACTTAAGTTTGTTGGGCCACCAACCTTTCAATCTAAATTTCCAAGTTTCTTCTTCAAATTTGATATTAGTCTTTGTTGTAATGGGTCAAATGAGAAAATGGAAATATGCTAACATAACATTCAAGCAATGAAACAACTTTTGGGAACAGGCACATAAATTGGTGGTGCATGTAACTTTTTATTCCTGCCTGAAGACCAATATTTCAAGTGTTTAAGTAATCCCTTATGTCCAAAATATTGAGCCAAATGATTTCAAACCCCTACTGTCACTTTTGTCATTTCACAAACAATAAATTTCAATCCAACCCTTGGTCTTTTTAAATTCAAGTAATCAGATATTAAATTTCACAAATAAATTACTTACTTTTAATCAAAATTATACAAGTTTTGTAAATTGGTGCATCTAATTGTATTAGTTTCAAAATACCCTTTAAAATATGTATAGGATTGTTTAACTTCTTAGACACAATACATGCAAAAATACTCATACCTGAGCCTTAAACTTCACCCAGTTCATGATTGACTCTACAATTCCACATTTCAAAACCTGAAAGAAAGTTTATCTTATTAAATTGAAATTCTATAAGGAATACAAAATTTCAAATTGTGAACGACCAAAGCAATCATTAATTACTAAAATTAACTTTTCATTAAAATTTTTCTAAATTATCCCCCATAGTTTCAAAACATTACATACAGAAGTTGTAATGAAACTCATTATCATTTGCTTCCACTACTGTCACAAACTTATGACTTCATGGATCCAAGCTGTAGAAAATAGTTAAAATTTGTGACAAACATCATTTTAACTGCATTTTTTTTTTTTACATTTCTCTTAACTTGTCCTTTGCAGATCCATTTAGTGATTTTTTGTCATCTATTTTAGATGTAAGACTGGGAACACAAATAAACAAATGTATCCCTCTTGCAAAAATATACTAATTAAAAATTATACACATGCATGAATAATCAAAATAAAATACTATCTTCACGCACAAGCATCAAGTTAACTTGAACAATAAGTTATAATATATATATACCACTAACCTGGGTGAAGAACTTTTCATCTGGTTGACATTTAGATCCAAAGTTCTTTGGTTGTAAGGTCATGTTCTCTTTAGTTTGGGAATCAAAGGTTGGGTTTTCAATTTGGGCATTGATAAATATCCACATATGGTTCTTGATCTGGGTATAGCAGGCAATACGAATTAAAATTTCATACTAATTTCTACACATTACTATCCTTACTTTAGAATACTTTGACAAAATACACGGAAAGTCAGTGTGAATATTTGTATTGATTGTGAAAACATCTACATGTTTAAGTTCATGGTAAAGTATTAACAATACACACACTTAAAAAGAAATACCTACTTGGAAAGGTTTAACTTGTACACCTCCTTTATTCTTCTTTTTCACAACTTCTACAAGTTTATTGATGATTTGGTCACTAACGTATTCAACATGTCGACCACCCTGTAAAAAATTTGTAACCCATATTATTCATAATTAGGAACATTACTGCTTAATTCAGCTTCAGTCTTCAGTATGTTACTGTTAACTTTTGTCTAGTTAGAATAGTATTTTAAATAAGGCATCCAGATTTTGGTTAATTCTTAATTCTGATCCATGTATAGGCAAACATTTAATATAATTTGTTCAAAAAGTTTAGATTTATTTGCAATGCTGTAACATTGCTACTCAAAATCTCGCCTGTTTTATGATTAAATGTTAAAAGTAATGCTTGGAAGTATTAAAAACAATATATGCCATTATAGCTACTAAATGATGGTCTTTCATGAGGATTAGTTAAATAGCATTTTTCAAGGTTTAATTTTTGCAGTTTGCTTTGTTTTTTTCAAAAACACCATTACAGAAAACTTAATTAAATACAAATTTAAAGAGAACCATTAAAATTTAGAATGCAGATCTGAAGTTAATAAGTTTGGCCACAAGAAACACCAACAAATGGAATGTAAATTAGTAGGACTCTAAACAGACAGCAAAGTTAAATGTTTTATTTAACATCTATACACTTTTTTCAGATATAAAGTTCAAGCCATCTCCTAGGTTTTTTTTTGTTTGTTGAATTGTGCTCAAAGCTCTAAGATGGCAGTCTCAACTAGCCATCCCTAATTTTGAAGTGGTAGACTACAGGAAAGGTATCTACTCAACATCACTCACCACCAACTATTAGACCACTTTTGTCAGATGGAATACTAAGGTTTGATCATCACCCTCATAATGCACCCACATCCCCAAAGTGCAGAACAAACAAACAAAAAACAATGTTTGGATGGTAATGAGACACAGCCCACAGAACCCTATATCCACAAACTGGCAAACTAACCCCTGGGCCCACTTTCCTAGGGTTTTTCCATTACTTCTAGCTATTTCTTAAGAAACTTGGATTCAAGAACACAGCAAACCAAACATAAAATAACCAAACACTTACCCGCACAGAAGAATTCATACAACTATCATCTCCAGAATACACACGAATCTTTTTTTATGGTGCAAATAACACACTTCATTGTTACTACATACAAAACCTACGTACCTGATATGCATATTTCAAAATTAAAGTGTCATTTATGTACATCGCATTACAGAAACATACATTAGTGTTTGACCTGAACAACCATTATGTTTCCATCAGATAAAAAGTTACTCTATTTCAACACATCTAATAATTTATTAACTGTGATTCTCCACAATGACAAAGTATGAGGTTTGGTTGACCATCTCATGGTATCAGACCTGCCAATGGAAGTCAAGTGTGTTGCTGATTCTGTATTTTCTATATACTCAATATCATACTTAACAACGCTTAAATTGTCATTTTCCAATATTTTCCTTGCTTTCTAACTATTCTACTTCATCTCTCAGAATCCCCATCAGATACAAATGTGGTCATATATCAACCTCTGTACCACTCAGGAATGGTCAAGCATGAGGATTCTCAACTTCTATCTTTATATTGATGCTGAATTCATTTCTGTGGGTTACCTGACCATGTGACAGCATAAGTAGTTACAATAATGTGTGCTCTGCTTCACCAGACAGTTCTGTGAAGTAGACTGTATACTCTATGCTAAGCATTACAAGGATCAAGGCTTTTCAAATTACAGTTCTCTTCATTAGAATCTTCTTGTTTTTTCAAGTTGTAAACTTTTATGAACTTCTGCACCAACCTCCTAGCATATAGTTTGTCTTGCAAGGAAATGGAATCATAAGCCTATGTTTGTAAAGTTGTATGAAATGGGGTGATCATTCTTAATACAGATATGAAGACCTGTATTTTGGAAATAAACAGTGTCACTGCACATGTCTTTCACTATTTTAAATGACTTGGTTTGAAAATAAGTAAACCGTTTAATGGGTTTTTTGCACATATGTCAATGTTTGTGGAAAAATTAGCAGGATTCTCTCTGTAACTGGGATGTCACCATGAGTATAATGTTATTTATTTATTTATTTCACAGAATTCTATTGGATACATTATATTGTTTAGCTTTGACAAAATCTTCACAGCTGACAGGGGTATCTAAACAATTAAGGCAGTACATATTTATGAAGTACTTTTTAAAGTCCTAATCAGTGGCTAAAGATCAGTCTTTACAAACATTAAGAACAATGTTATTATTGTCAAGAGCCAATGTTTAGTACAGATGTTCTGAAGTCAGTTATCATTTTATCACATAACATGTCAAAGAATTTCCAGTTTATACAAGGGATCCATCCATTGACATTTGCAGAAAACAGGACAGGTTGAGATCTTTAACACAAGCAGTGACATTTTCTCTGTACCAACATGTCCTAAAAAGTGAGATCTATACTAATGTGTTACAAGCTTGCCAAATTCCACCTACTTGTTCTGTCACAGTGATTCAAAAGTTTTAGCAAAAAGAAGGATGTAAGTTTCAGCATTGTTAACTTTTCTGATAGAAGTGATCTGAAATATGAAGCAAAATCCACCTAATTGTTCTGACACCTGTGATTCAAACTTTCAAGGAAGATATAGATTTCAGCATTGTCTGACATAAATGAAAATGAAGCAATTCTAAAATAACTCGAATAAAAACATTTTACCTCACCACATGAGAAATACTTTACCAGTGAACTATCTTGGAACTTCATTGGGAAGATTTTATCAATTTTATCACGATTTATACGAATAACACTTGGATATTTCATTCAATGTCATGCTGATTTCTGGTTTTATTCAATTGGTCCAAAAAAGTTGGAACTACACCAAAGTTTGGATTTGATTTCACTTGCAACCAGCTGATTTAGGTACATAAAATTATTCATACTAGCCAAATGTTTTCTGGCAAGTTAAAGATGCATGTGACTGTTGACTTGTACATTTCCTGTGTAAAATGATTTTAAATAAAACTTGCTGTCCATTTAATTGCAGCCACACATTGTTATATTGAACTACCATTCTAACACTAGCAAAGACAATAAAAGCTCTCCATTAATTGAAATACTCAGTGACATCTATGTAACCTCTGCTTACTTTGGTTCATACGTTTGACTAGTTCCCTCTCCTTATCATACTTCCTATTCAACAGGAAGTTAGCAGCCAATTTTTTAAATCTTGTTTTACACAGAATATGGTGGTTATTAATTATTATAATGTACAATATCTTCTTTCACAATAGCAGTAAAAAGGAACACTAACAAACTTAAAAGTACACATATTAATTAATCACAAACAAATTAATGACCATATATTTGCTTGCATGGCAACTAAAATGGAAAAAAAAAAAAATAGTAGCTACAAATTTCCACTGAAGCCTACCCAAGTTTCCATCAGAATTATTTCACACAAACCCATTATAAATCATATGCTTAAAAAGTTTTAAATTATGGATAATAGAGCATTTTTGAAGAAAAAAAAGTAATACATTTAAAATCATACTAAGAAAAATTAAGGAATATTGTACAACGACATGCAACACTATCTGCAGGATATAGCAGCAGGTATCATTCAGATATAAAACTATGGAAGAAAGATATTGGACTTGGTTATTTCATAATTTTCTATGGTTCTGTAATATTAATACAGATTTTTGTTTTTATAGTTAAACAGTACTTTTCTAATATCATTGTTAAGGAAATTACAATAACTTAGCTCCCTACCTTTGTTGTTGCAATACTGTTCACAAAGCTGACCTGCTGAAACCCATGGACACTAAGTGTCACAGCTATTTCCCATCGATCATTCACGTTATCATAAATAACCTTCAGGGGGTTGCCATCCTCATCCTCCCGTCCCTTTACGTATTGTTCTATATAATCCTTGAAACCTTTAACCTGGGAAATCAATATATATATATATATATGATTATGTATGTACAATGCAGGTGAATTTGAATACTGGTTTTAATGTGTATTCTATATCTTTATTTTCTAAAGCTTTAAGGTAAAGTTAGTATTAACTTAGTTTCACTTAAGTTTTTAATTTTATTAAATTGCATGAATAGAGATCCAAATTAATGGTTAATATATTTCTAACAAACAGTATAACATGCCTTATAGTAACATCCTTTATGTTCTCCATCTCAATGTTTGAATTCCTCTTGTTGAATACACACTTTCCAAGGTTTAAGACAAGATAACATAGCATCCAATTCATGAAAATAGGCTCACGACAAGCATTACTTACTTTTGGCAGGGAACATACACATACAATGACATTTATTGCCATTTTCCCTTACTTACTGTTTTGCTTTACACTCTACACTTGCTGGGTCACACTGACACTAGAAAATTGTGTTAATAAAATGTTTTTCTAGCAGGAAAAATTTGACACTCCTCAGAAACCACACAGTCTGGCAAAGACAACTAATAAACGTAAACAACTTAGTGACTGACTGAATTCACTAAACTTCTGAACAGCTTGATCATATAAAACTAAAGAATACACCATGATATAAACTTTATAGAATACCTTGATTTTATAATTTTAAGTGATTTGTTGAGCTTCAATAGCTCTTTAAGGCAAAATTCAAATTCAAGGATTTTCCAGGACAACCATAAAACCTAAGGCATCTTTGGTGCAAACATTGATAGTTTTTGTTTTACTACTGGTAAAGTGGTCTCAAGATCCTTGAGGGTTACATGTCTGGCACAGAGTTTCCCTCCCACTAGCTTAAGACTATGAAAACTATCATTATTTTTAAAAAAATGTTCTGTTTGATTTAATAATCACAAAATATGTATCTAAATATATAACATACTGGAAGTCTTTTCCCATTCAGAATGACTTTTACACCTCTTGATGTTCCAGCAATATCAAATGCTCGTCGAGACAATAATGAAATAAGATCTTTGTCCAGTGCTTCCATTTTAAACTTAGCAAGATCTGGGTGAAATGTGATGCACGTGAAGTCTTCTCCACTGAAAGGCTTAACCTTGGCATCTGTTGTTTTTGTCATATTATCCGTCCATATCTGTATAACAGAAAACAAGAAACATTACAAGATCTACATACACACACATTTAAGATGTATTCACTTGCAAGTGTTGGTCTTTCTAGTTTTAATGTTTTTAACTATAAAAAAGTGCATTCACTTCCTTTAGACTAAAAAACCTTCTCTGTAGATGTTGCACCAATACAAAAATGTGCACTTTTCCAAGACTAACTGCGGTGTAAGACTCTTGTTGGGTTTTATTTCCCAACATTTATGAGCTAAAAATGTTACATTTAAAGAAACATGTTTTGCAAACCAAACATATTTTTCATGATAGAACTTGCATTAATGTATTATGCTCTCTTATGTTAATTAATTAAAAGACAACAATGACAATTACCTGTTTAAATGACTTGCCACTCTCCTTTGAGGCAGTCTCTACAATGAATTTTGTGCTAAATATGTTGCACAATTTAGCACCATACCCATTTCGTCCACCTGTTACAGATAAAAAGTTTAACATAGTTTTAACACAAACTAGTAGCAAAGAAAAAAAACAAGAGCTCCAAGAGATATTAACACAAACTAGAATGAATACATACAATTATCAGTTACAAGGGTATATATTGCATACATCCAAGATTCCCATAACATTATATAGTTTCATCAAAAGCTTATAAGTTCATAATTGTAGACCACGGTCAACAAGTGATTTACAGATTCGAAAACTGTGTACGTAACATCAACCAAATTTAATCTTTTATAGTTCTAAGGTCAAACCACTTACAAGTTGAAGTAAACTTAACAGCTCATGTCTTCCATTGTATAAAGCTAGTATTTTTCAAGAATCATAGGGAAAACAAATGAAATTCCAAAAATTAGGCATCTGAAACTGAAGTTGTAAACCTAAATGTTGACTGACCACACCCATACCGGAAGAACAAACACAAAAATATATAAAAAAGGATAAATGACAGAATAAAATGTGACAAAAAAGGCAATTTTAATATTTTTGTCAACATTACTTTTTGGTCGATTGGGAAACAATACACATTTTCTTTCTTAAGGGTTTGTTTTTTTACACATAAGCACACTTCAGTTCTTGAGCTTGTATACCTTTTGAAATCAAATGAGACAAATAAATATGTTTCTAAAATAGTAAAAAAATCCGACCTGTAACTTTCTTTTCCTCATCGTTGTAGTTAGACGATGTCAACAAGTGTCCAAAGATCAAGGTTGGAACATACATTTTTTCATCCTTGTGTTCAACAACTGGTATGCCCTTACCATTGTTCCAAATGCTGATTTTGTTATTTTCTCTATAACAGAAGGAATTTGCATAATCAAGATCTTAAACTAAGTATCAAATGCAACTTTTCACGGATTTACTATCATATATCTATTTTAATATTGATGTTTGTTTAAGTTAAATGTATACGTAGAAACGTACATAACTTATACTGTTAAATCTGTATTGCGAAATTCCTGCCTATTCACTAAAATTATAGAAAATTCTTGAGTTTAATTATCAAAAATATATGTGTACAGGTAAACACTGATGTATCGTATATATATATTGTTGCACAAGTTGAAATTTCGAGAAGCTCTCCTCATGCCTATAAATATAATTAATGCGACACGCCAAAAGACAGTATATATTATCGGTTTGCTATAACTGTTATCATGCTTAATAATCAGTAACTTCCGATATTTGACCAGGAATGTTTATAAATTTTGATTTTTAAAAACCATTTAGCTTCAGCAGATTCATATCGGACATTAGTATTTTTACAAAAACATTATATAACTTCAGCAGTGGAGAACTCAGTGTGTGGCCAGTGAAGAACACAGAGCTAGCTAGCTAGCTCCCTCCCTGCTAAGTGAATTGTATCTACATCGACTCAAAATTAATTCACTCATCATGAACCCTCAATAAGATATCAAGGAAGTTCCATACCAGATAGAAGACAAATTATTGTTTGTAAGTTTATAAAACTTTTGTACATAGATCATTATTTGTAATAACTGTTATTGTTTGTATGTTAAAATATATTTGTATTAAAAAACTGTGTATAAATCTTGTTGGCAAGTATCATAAATTGGTTACATAACAACATTTATTTAATTTCTAAATCTTAATCATCATTTAACTCGGTTTCAGGCTATTAAAAATTATAATATGTTATGTAATAAATTGTAATACCTAACAAACTGTAAATGCACCCCACCCCAACCAGATCCTCAAAGTTAAAAAAGGTCTTTCATTCCCCAGATCTCTCAAGGCACTGGCCTTTTTTTTACCAATTCAATTTAAAACTTTTAGAATATACCGTAATTCAGTCCTCTCATGAGACTGAATATGCTGAACAATCCATAAAAACATAGCTGACTAGTTTTTAAACAAAACTCTGAGTGTAATTCTTTCAAGATGTAAAAGTAAAAACATACTTGCCTCTATATGAAATCAAGTTTTAAGTAGTGCTTCAACATTAAAAGCTCAAGCCAAAAACCAATAGATAATAATGATTTACTAAACCCTGTTGCTATAATAGTAAAAAGGAAACTATACAATTCATAGCCTTTTTATCAGGAACCAGTTATAAAGACTAAGAAAATTATAAACCTCATCTTTAATTATCATTATCACAATTTGAAAGAAAAATGTATGTAGTTTAAGCCATTTCCTCGTAGCGCAACAGTTACTGCGCTTTTGAATTTTACTTTGCAAAATAGGAACTTTATACAGGTGGGGGAAGGGTTATATCACATCATTATAAGTCAGCATATTTATTTTTTTGTGTTGTTTTCTTTTTTCTCTCAAACAGTTTTATATTTAAAAACTAAACATTAGATTCCAGTTTAAACTTTAAAAATTTTGAAGGGAAACAAAAAGGTATTTTCACTTTCTTTTACCTGTTACAACAATTTCCTTCAGAAAGCTTTGAAAAAAAATCACTGGTTTATTGTCAGTTGATAAAAACAGTTGAATGTACTTAAAGAAAACTAACCATAAGGTCACAGATGAATTAAAACTCTGTGAAAATTTGTTAAAAACTTCCATTAAAATTAATTCAAGTTAATTCAAAAATAAAATAAAGACAGCTTACGGATCAATTTCAATCTTAATACAGTCCATCTTTTTGTCTCTTTGTTTATTGTCTGCTGCATTCACTGAAGAATAAATACATCTATATTACTTTTAGTTACAATAGATTGAAAGATTTAGTATAACTAAAACAAACCAATGAAAAGCACAGTAACATCTACACCATGAATGGAACATTAAATATTGAGTATTAGTGTTTTCTCTGCAATGATCCAATTAAAAGGTTAAAATAGATACCTATCTTGATAAAAATCTGTATTTGTTAAATAACAAATTTTTATACAACAAAAAGAAGCTATTTAACCTGAAATAGATAATTTACTACAAAATATTTATTGGTTAAAATAAACAAAGAACACCAGTAAATGATTGTTCTTAAAAAGAGCTTACCCAAGATTTCATCAAAAACTTTATAAAGACCTGGCACAAACGTTATTTCTCTGTGAACCATCCCACCAGCTTCTTCATCATAAACCCACATTGGCTAATAAAGAAAAAAAATGTTAGTAAACTTTATTCACATCTATAATGAAACATCAAAAACTGAAACCTTTGTTATACACTACTGCATTATGTTCTGGTGTTCCTTGTCATTACATACATAAAATGCAAACCTGCTGGAGAAAACATGTTTAGATTAGCTGCACAAAAATTGAATAGTGAGCTACAAACAGCTCCCTTTTTCTTTGGATGTTATTCAAATCATAACAATAAAATGTACTATTTTATAAAATAACAACTTCACTGGAACGTTTTACAAGACTGTAGGTTAGTATTTGAAACTCACAAAAGGGCAAGAATTTTTGTTTTTCAAACACACACATCAAATAAAATATTTAAAATTTTTATAGCAGCAAATTCATACAAATATCAAATAATAAAAAAAAGATATATTTGCAGACACTAAATTATCTGTAGAAAGTTCATCTGAAATGTCAAACTATTCCATTCTGTAGTTTTGTTTTACAGTACAATAACACCATATGACGGGTAAGTTAAATCAATGCATCTGGGCACTTGAGAGTTTAAATTTCCAAATAAAATAATCGGTTGAACTTAAGAGGAAAAGAAATTATATCTTACAAAAGAAAACAAATATCAGAATTATCTGAAAACTATGTCTTGTTACTAAAGATGTTCACACACTGTGAGTAAAATGTCTATAAGCAAAACGCAGATCTACGATAGTTTCACACCAAGTCTTAACTCTTACTCTTTTAAGGTGAAAACAAGTCTGCTTTGACCAGACAGAATAAAGTATCTGGAGGCATCTCTGCTCCAATAATGCAAGTGACATTTGTAAAGTAGTCTCACACACGGCAAGATAGGATATAGTACAACTATTCAATAAAACACTAGATAGCCTTTATTATGGTGAGAACACCTTTTTACAAGCTTATAAAGCATGATTATTATACTTATTATAAGACATGAGATTAGTATTAGGCTTATTATATGTTTAAACATTACATTCTTTATCTAGTTTCTTATGGATTTTCAAGAATTAGAAGAGTGTATAATAATAGTATTCCAAACACACTAAGTTTGTCATATCTTTTTTCTCAATCTAGAGCTCTTCAGCCAGGCTAAGATATAACAAACACAGTAATAGTCAGAACACTATTTATATAAGCCATTTGTTTCAACAACAGTTATTATGGTGTAAATGCCTTTTACAAGTTGGTGAAGCATGAGTATATAGTGTTGTTGGAATACTATTGATACACCCTTCTAATTCATGAAAACCTCTAAGGTACCAGATAAAGAATTTAGAGTTTAAAAATATAATAAGCATAATACTAATGTCTAATTACAAATATATTAATAATCCTGTCTGTTGGTCAAATCTCTTACAGAATGTAAACACACAATCTCAATCTAATTTACTATGTTCCAACTCAGAAGCCTTGAACATTTTTATGAAATATGTACTGTAGGAGAGTGAGGGATGTGGTACCTGCAAATACATTTACTTACCTTCTACACCACAACAGAAGTAATAGTATTAATTAAAAGTTAAGTCATAATCTTCATTACTTTAAGTTTAAGATAGAAATATCACTTGTGGGCTGAGTCATGTTTTGTGTTTATCTTCTACACTCCTTAAACAACTAAAATGTTTGAAAAACAATACTTATAAACAGATAATAAGACTGCAAACTATTACCTGAGTTAAGGGTTCAGTAGAGCCTATGTATGTGTCTGGCCGGAGCAGAATGTGCTCCAGTTGCGATTTCTTTTGATAAATTCTTTCTACAGACAATCTTTTGTTGCCCTTTTTGGAACCAGCAGTTGTCAGAAGATTTTCATCTTCCACTATGTCTATATTATTTTGATCCTCAGCTTGTTTCAATGGCACCTCTTTAGTTTGCTTTGCAGTCATGTTAGCAAAAAGATCCTGAAATTTAACAAATAAAGTATATATCATGACATTAAAATAACACATTGCAACTGATGACAGGCCTTCTGTCACTACATTCACAAAAATCAACCTACCACAGCATTCTATCGAAATTTAATGTAGCCCTTCACATATTGATTACTTTTGATCTTATGACAATTTATGTTTTCATATTACAATGAAACCTTTGACACATTGGAAAGTTAATGCCTTCACATAGAAATCATAACACTTATATTTGTCAAACTGTTTGGCATTCATTTCTCTCACCTGATTTTCAGAGTATTATGAAAAATGTTCATATGTAATTGGTGATTTGATTACAAATAGTTCTCAATAACAAAAGTTACTTTTTTGTGCAATATATCAGAAAAATATGCCATTTTACATTTCATCACTTCCAAATATTTTTTTAAAAACAGATGCCAATTCCTTGGATAAAACATAACTAATTTTTTGATGGTTTTATTTTTGTATTGCCTCTAAAAGTACAACCCATCCTCATAAAATTCATTTTTAGATGGGTACTAAATATGCAGGTAATTTGTACAAACACTAAACTAACATGCATCACATCAGGTTCTTTCTAGATATGGTTAAACCAGAATTGAAATCTAAGTTATATTTTGCTTCATATGAAACTTTTTCTTAGGTTACGAGATCAGCTTGTGTTCCATAATGTACTTAAACAAAACACGTTTCACATGAGGCTCACTTCTCTAATACTGGACCTGAATCACAACTGCCTTTGTTTACAATACTTAGATGTAAACTACAAAATTTTCTTTCTAATTTTTCCCAAACAACCTATTTTATCATATTGTGGAGTTCTAATCTAGCAAGCTGCAGGATTAGTGAAATTTGTTAATGGATTAAAAATTAGGCTCATTAACTACATTCAACTAGCTGATCATTCTTGCATGAGACTAATATTTATTTTCAATTTGCTTTTTCTTAAAAGACATTTTCAAACTATGCTTCATTTATAATGATACACATCTTGAGGTACAACAATTTGGAATTAAGTTATTTTCTAATCCTATACATGAAAATGTTACATATATGCTACATAGTACAAAACCTACAACAAGCTAAAAACAGAATGTCATTCTGTGGGTTTCTCTTTAAATGATTTCATGTGACTACAATGTTAAAACTAAGTAAACTAATTTTTGTTGAAAATAATTGTTTAGAATTCATGAGGTAAAACCAGCAAACATTCCTTTCACCATGTGATAAATATATAATTCAGTAAGAGATTCAAACCAAACCACATTTACTATTTGGCAAGAAAACTTGTGATGATAGATGACCTCTTTGCAGAGATTAAAATAATTGATAAAATAGAAATCAAAATATTATAAGATACATGAATATCAAAATCACTGTAATGTAAAAATTTGTTAATTATAGATGTTTCAGAATTTTTTTTCTAATTCCATCATCAAAAAGGTCACAAGTATGAAAAAACATCACTCACATCGGAAAATTTTTTGATATAGATGGAAGTTTATAAAAACATACGCAACTGATGTTCATAGGTAATCAAATTAATCACTTAGCTCCACTCATGCATGTTGTGTTATAACACATCAACTTAAGGTAATTTTACATACTAAATTAACACATCTAAAAAATTACCAATCAGCCCTGTCGTAAGAAGTTTATATTTTAAGCAGGCTGGGAATGTAATTTCCTCAAAATTACCTGAACCAAAATTAAGGAGTGACAGCAGTGTCTTCAGCACTTGATTGTTTAAAACTTTATAATTGCTTAATGGGATTTTAACCAGAATTTCGGAAGTCTTACATATTTGAGGAAAATACTAAAAACATTTTTTGCCAAATGTAATTATTATTTAATATATTACGTGAAACATTATTGTTATTGAAATTTAAAGGGCTCCATGTGGGGAATTTTTCCTTTTACTTTAGAAATATAGATATTCATAAATCTAAACACCACTAATGAAAAAATCTGACACAAAGTAGCATGATTTATTTAGAGCTTCAAAGTTAAGAATGTACTGATAAATTTCAAAACTTTCTAAACATACAAAAGAAGACATAATTAAATATACAGGCAAATAAATTTAGATTTATGAGCAGTGATTGTTTCTTAGACCATGAATTAAAAATAGCCAGTTTTCAATATTTATATTTTTAGAACTCATTTTCCACAATCTTTCAGGATTTCAAAGATGGCTTAAACGATTTCAAACAGTTGTAACTTTAATAGCCTGTATTTACATTCTTCATAACATAAAAGCATAGTTTTGGAGTAACTTATTATAAGTATAAAATTTCAGTACACATTGTAACATTCTAGTCTGAAATATAACTTCTTGTTATAAGCATATCTTCTTTTTTGTATTCCTCCTGACTTCCAACAAACATTCATACTTAAATATGTGAATAGTATAGTTAGATAATCAACAACAGGAAAAAATGTTTACATCACAGAATTACCTAACAGTAAAATAAAGGATGACAAAATTCTGTATAAAAATAAAAAAACAACAAAGGAATTAATAAAGCTTTTACTAAAGCTAAGGGGATGTATGTAAATCACAGCTCAAAATATAAAGTTTGACTTGTTTATTTAAACAAGATCACAATGTCTTGACACTCAACTGTTATCATCGTCAGGTAAACTATTCTATATGGTTACAACTCATTATGAATATAGATTATAATCTAAGGCAGTGCTTCTCAACCTTTTCCAATATCATTCACCCTTACAAGTTTTTCACATCTCACTCACCCCAGTTCAGAAAAGGACAAAAAAAAAACAAGAGACTAATTTAGAATGCAAAATTCTGTATTATGACTTAAACATGCAAACTATAATGAGTACAGCATAAAATAAATAAAAATTAAATGTATTTATCAAACTACAACTAGAATAAATAATAACTAATGACTTTTTGCTCTACAATTCCATCATAGTGAGGAGTGATGGAGGTTTCAAGAGCTCCCTGCATGGTGTTGTGATAATAAACACAAGACAGAATGATTTACTATGCATAATATGCTTGAAAAATTGTTTAAATTTGTTTTCAAACAATCATTTAGAAAGGGCCCTGGAACTAGGGTATAATTGATAATACCCATTTACCACGATTCTGATCTTATTATCCCTTGGGTGAACCATTCACCAAGTTGAGAAGCACTGATCTAAAGATTATTCAAGTTATTAACAAGACTGTGCTTATATTTTCAAGGCTTCTTTCAAAAATAATTGTAACATTTGAAAAAGCAAACCAAAAGGAAGTACCCTATTATCTAAAAGTAAAAAGATTTCATGATATTTTTAACAACTTTAGATTTATGTACAAATTTGAGAAAATAACTTTAATTGGCATAAGTAGCACCACCTAATACTGGTTTACCATATATACTTGTGTAATAGTCAAAACACTGTAATCAGTTTTTTAAGCAATAATTTAGGGATCGACTTTTACACAAGTAATACTTCCGAGAGGTTGAAATGCATGATCAGTAAGAGTCCACAAAATGAAATAAAATACAATAAACAAAAAGGTAATTTTTATTTTTATTACAAAAAAGGTAAACATGAAAAAGGACATATCTTAATAACAGAATAATCCGTTTTTCAGATAAACATTACATATCTATTAACCAGTAATATTAGCACCCTTATCTTAGAGTACCTTAGCTCGTGCATAGTGTTATTCAAGAGCATAATGTGAGCTGTATATTCGCCAATGATTTATGACCTACAATGGCACAACAAATGGTTAGACATGGTTCTAATGGCAATAAAACAATAAAATTTAAGTATAAATATATGTGTACTGTTGCAATTTTAAAGCTATTTTAGTTATAGTATTAAAACTATGTACAAGTAAAAAATGGTCATGTGGACAGTTTCTGGGTCCGAGTTCATATTGGTATATATTTAAGTTTTAATTTGTTTTCACAAGTTTTCAGTATAAAGTGTGACCTGACCTGCAGTGAGTAGTTACTGGAAAAACTAGGTTGACTTTTACAAAAGATATATGAAAAATTAAGATTTTTTGGTCAATAATCATGGGTCAACTATTGCACGAGTACATATGGTACCTAGTTTATTAATTCTGACTAGAAATTCTACAAGTGAAAGAACAGAGATTTGGAAAGTCTGATCATAATAATAGGATTCTCTCATTAATCACTTAGATCCTTTCACTCTACAGTACTATTAAAGGTCTCTTCTTATAGTTTTGATATGTCTTTAATCAAGTTTGCTTTTCCAACATTTGCATTTCACATTTAAATGTCCATTACACAACTCCACAATGGCAACAATTATAAACATCTGAACCAAGTTATTTTATGAAACATTGAAAGTCTGATGCAGGTAAAACAAAAATATTTTCATAACTCACATTTTAAAAAGAAATACCAGTGTAAACTGTGTAGTATTTGTAGTCAGATACTGCTTCCTAACTTTTTGTGGAAATACAATATATGTGCTGGTTAGACCACATATGGATTTGTGTGCTTAATTTTGGTTACTTTAAGAAAGGATTTTGAGTTTTTGGACAGTTACGAGAACAACTACCAAAATGTTTAAGTTATTACTGCAGGAGAAGGGATTGAAAAGACATGATTGTTTTTTTTTTGAAGGATTAGAAATTATAATTCCATTTTTTTCATAAAGAAATTATGTAGAGTAAAACTAAATGGTCATAAGTTTAAAATATGAAAAATCAGGGTTATACATGACTCCAGATTAACTTAAGGTAGTGATACTTATCAAATAGTAATAATAATAAAGTGGTGAAATTTGGCCTCAGCCTTAGGTGTGATAAAACATGCTACATTGAATGAAGTTAAGAGTAGATTGGTTGAGTGGTTTAGCTCAAGGCTGGATATAAAAAAAAAGAGCTTTCTATGTAAGAATGTATCCGATTGAAGTATTCAGGGATATTAATGAAACAGATTTTATTGATGTATCGTCATTAGTCATATTTAATGGTGATAGTGGTAGGCCAAAGGGCCACAAATATAAATTTTGAAAGTAGAGGATTAGGTCTAAGAGTTATCTTCAGATTAAACAATTCTATTTTCTAATAGAATGAATTGCTTTTGGATGTGGTGGATGCAGTAAATTTAATGAAGCTTAAAGGCTCAATGGATATTTATAATTATATAATCAGGGATGGAGAGAGTTGAGACTTTTTAATTTGGTTGGGAGAGCATTGATGGACCAATACTAATAAATGAGCCCCTTACTATCCCCTAAATGTTAAATGTACTGGATAAGGTGGCAGTAGAATACGGAGTAACTTTGATGAGCAAATAGGTCTTGTTTGTTATTCTCTGGAAATAAAGTAAAGAATTTAGATATATCTGCATACTGACAATATGAATATAAATTCAACCACTCTGACTAAATACAACATTAAAAGCCATCCTTCATGGGATGATGATAATCTCATACTCATAATAAAGTTGTTGTTTTTTGTCAACTAGCTCTACCATTAGTACTAATAATATTAATAGTAGGGGTAATCTATAAGCCTTTACAGTATCAGCATTACTATTATTAGTATTATATAACTTACAAAATACTCAGCAACATTTCACATTTTTTTTATAAATAGATAAACCCCAAAATATGATTATACACTTAAGGATATCATAAGTCATAGAACTGAAAATTTAATTTACAAAGTTTATATTCAAGTTCAATTATCATCATTACCACTAGGGACTACCACTGTACCAGTTTCAAAGGTATGAACACTCACTGACTCCATTAGCATCAGTAATAATATTACAAATGATTATTACTAATCCTAGTAATAGTAGTATTACTACTACTGGTACTGTGTAGTTGAGCTAGGTAAGTCACAGTAAGTAACACATTGAAATTTAAAAATATTTGGGCTACTGATACTACTAGTGACAGTGATAATACTGTGGCATAGCTTTTGTCAAGTTTGTTAAGAATAAGGACTTATGAAGTAATTAGTGAATGGCCGGGCTAAGGGTAAACCCCCTAATAGTACTAAACTAAAAGTAAGGTTAATAATAATAATTAATATTAATAAGTATAATTACCAAGCCTAACATTAAGAACACAAACTGAATATGTGAAACTTGAAAAAAATTAAGTCAGCTACAACTTACACTGAGGTTACAAGCTGCAGTTTGTGATACTAATATTAACAAATCACACCTTTGTTAATGTTAGTCTAGTAATAGTACTAGTATAAGTAGTAAAGTAAAGTGAAATTCACACAAGTTTTTATCGGTTGTACATAGTAAAACTTTGATTATTTTATTCACAACGCTTAACCAGGTTTACCTGGCATCATCAGGTGAAATACAAGAACATATTTACTGACAGTAACACTAAATTGACATTAGATTAGGTTGATCTTACCATTAGAGGACTTTTCCCAGTGTTTCCTAATTTGCTTGATTTGCTCATTTTTCTCTTTGTCCTTCCAAACTTGACCCCAAATCTAATAAGATTGCAAACAATAATTGCTATCAAGCGCGCCTAAAGTTTTAAATAATAATATGAAATGATATTTTTATTCAGTGTAACCACTCTTCACTTTAAGTTTAACGTGTCTTGTCAAATCTAGTACTAGTATAAATCCTTAACTGATCGGATCCGTTATTCCACTAGTGGTCTGAGTTGGTTATTTCAATTAAACCTAACCGCCAAAATACAATTCAACCAATCACAAAGCACAGTCTACAGTGAGTTAACGTTCAAACGATGTCACCCAATAATAACGACATATAAAATCTAGCGTCCTCTATACATTGGGATTTTGTTTCATTTAATAATATAATTGTTGCATGAATTTCTGAAAATTGCACTCAAATAAAATTAAATAAAAAAATATACCAAACACATACTATGGACATATTTCTCTTAAATATGTAATTGTTTAGTTTTATATTGCAAGTCACACATTTTGAACATTATACAAACAACTAGCAACCCCCAGGAGCACAGCGGTTAGTCTGCGATTTTCAGCACTAGAAACCGGATTTCGATACCCGTGGAGCATAGCACAGATAGACTATTATGTAACTTTGTGCTTAAATTCAAACATACAAACAGCAACTAGCAAATGGAACTTAGTATCAAATTTATGCGTGCTTTTATATCAAGAAATATCTTAACATACGAACAACAAAGGGGCATGTTTTCTGAAATTTTCATGAGACATGTGTGTCCCAACGGATACTTATGTTGGGTTACATGTATCCCAGAAACTATTTATGGAAGCATGTTATATACACATTCTGGGGTGGAAGTAACGCAAGAACATCTTATAATCAAAGTTTTGTTTGTCTAATTATGAAAAAAGTGTTAATTACTCTTACAATATTTTACTGATTTATAGAAAAACATATTTTGAAGAAGCTGTTGTCACAGTCTAAAAATAAAATAAAATGAGAACATTCAAGTGATACTCACTGTTATGAGATATGAATGCCTTAACACTTTGTAAAATGTTACAATAGCTGAAAGAAAACAGAATAATCAAGAATATGTTTTTTGTGTTCGTGTGTATGTGACAAACACTTCACGTGTGATATATGGTAAAACATGTTTTTTAAAGTGGGACCTAACACATCTTACAAATTGTCGTTGTCAATTTCTTTTCTTTTTTTTTTTGCGCTCATCTAGTGTACTTTCTTTTGATCTGTTCCTTAACAGGAAGGTGGTCCTCAACATTTTTCATGTATTGGTCTTTTTTTTAAATCTCTTTCTCTTCATACTTGATCTCTTTCTCCAAAGCAATCATGCACTCTGTTAACTCCTCAAGAAACTTAAGGAAAGACTGATTCCTATGTTTCACAGACGTTTACCACTGAAAACATTCGTAACTTGTACAAAGCGTTTTCAACCATTTAGTAGATTTCCTGTAATGCTCATAGAGGCTTGCTATTTGGTGTGCTAGACCAATAACTTCCATGAATCCATTGTAAAACATAGTAGCTTCTGAGTATGGAACGTCAGCCTTGGTACCATCTTTCAACTTACGTTTTGCCATTGATATCATATTTGTGTAACAGTTACTCAAAACCCATCACCTCTTTTGTGTCTTACCATTTGACAGCAACGGTACAAGACATTTTCTCAATGAACACTGCCTCATCCCGTTGCTATTTCTCATTCAGTTTTGGAAAAGTTTTCCTTGACTCGGTATGTACCCGCAATAGATCATATCACACTATGTAGTTAGTGTTGCTGGAATATGTAAGTTCAACATTGCAACCTAACTATGAAATTTGTCATAAGCATTCCATTAGTCCTCTTGTGTCACACAGATACTCTGCAGTTAAAATTTATTTTTTTTCCACGATTTTATCCTTAGAATGCCTCAAAAATTGAACTGGAAAAGTAATTGCTGAAACAGTCTGATGGTAGCGATAGCGAAGACTAACCAGAGTAACGCCGATAGTAACTCTGACTACCACGACTGTGAAAATCAAGAATCTACCTCAGAAACTTCTACGAACAGTGATGAAAGAAAGATGTTTACATCCAAAGGCTCGCATAACAATAGAGCTCAAAAGTGGTGGCGGATGCAGCTGATGATTTTGAAGTTAATGCTTCTATTGATGATGCCTAGAGGAATAATAATGTTATCTGGTCAAGGTTCCTGCTAATTTCAAGCCAAAGAAGTCAATCCTAGCTACCAAGGACTGTTTAGTTTTTGCGGAAATAACAGGTTCATCGTCAGAGTTTGACATGTTAATGAAAGCTTACTCATCTAGATAGCAAAATGCATCAACAGATGGGTAGAAATCCTTGAAAGAACAACTGGTACACAGGTTCCTAAAACAGATGTTTGTGAAATTATGGTTGTCTTTCGGTGCTTATTTATCATGTACTACAACCGAGTATCTAGCGAAAGAAATAAAAAGACGTAAATCCAATGTTAACGTTACACAAATTAAACGACTAGCGAAGGGCGGTGTCTTGGTAAAGTGCGCTAACCCCAAAGATCTCAATACCCTCTTGCAAGAATGTCCCAAAGATGCTTTCCAATCGGGAAACGTAAAATATACCTACTCGGCAACAATCCCCAAGCTAAGGCCTTTGTTATCAGAGGCATACACTGTAACATAGACACGGAAGAGGTTAAAGGGGCATTGACCGACATTAACATTCTATAAAATAAAATAAAAAGTTGAAAAAAATATCTCCTAACGAACACAATCACAAACAAACTTGATAAAAGTATACTATAAAAAACATACACAATATACTAGAACAAATCCACAAGGGTATCATGTTTTGGTACCAAAGAAATCGTGTAGAAGAAGCGAAAATGCCAGCGATCATAGTAATATACATGTTTTGCTTGTGGTTTAAACCATAATGTAAAATAACGTTCTAAAACACACAAACAACTAAAATGTATAATTATAATGAAAATCAAAGTGCAAACTATAAAGTTAGCACAAAATACAAATCTATTAAACCAAACATAATAAATATAAGAAGCAACACATAAGCACAACAGGTACGAAAGGACGACGACAGACAAAACACACCACACATAGAAACAAATGTACAGCTAATACTACCTATAACGAAGATACTTCTTCCCACACCCAAAAACTCAGAAATATCAAAAACACACACAATAGTAGTCTTCAATGAAACAACAAAGAAACAACTTCAATCAAAAACATGATATATGAATTCGTCTTAGAAATCAGCAACCACGAACAAAATGAAGATTTTATCCCATAATGATAAAAATAGCAAAGAAACACCTTACAGTGATATCGCCGCTAATATTGCTCTCCGAAAAATAACATAGATATATACCTGCTACAAAGAATTGATTGCGATCCACAATCATATTTACATAATAATAGGAGACATGAACAGCATAAGTTAAATATTCGGATGTGCTATGACTACAGCTAACGACAGAAAGTTACCAAAATTCATAAAAGATACCAATAGCATCTTACTCAATGACAATACTCCGGCATATACCTGTTATACGTAAAATAGCAATGATACAGTCTTGGTCAAAATGTTTGCATATTATATAATAAGTAAGATCATTATTATTAAGATGGAACACAAATACACTTAACGCTGTCAAACTGAGAAATCCATGTTATGTTAAACATCAACATGTCTAATTTGCATAATGAGACAGGTTCTATGGATATCTTGAATGATTTATTAGACCAGCAAACAATTTTCTGAGACACCTGTAGAAAGATGTGTAATTCAGCATTTCACCTATTGTAACAAAACCTTGCCAAAACATATATAATGACAAAATATAACATCAAATTATTATAAATAGCGCCTGTAACTTTATATCAGCTCATATTAAACATTCAGAACTTGGTTGGTCATCCTCGTACTCTAATAATCTCCATAAGACGATTTGGCATGCTGTCGGCGAGATTATTGATGTAGTCCGCCGTGATTTAATCCCAACTTGTCACTAGAAGACGCTGAAATTCAGCTACAGTAGCTGGATTAGGGTCTTGTTTAGCAATTTTCCAGCTTAGTTCTGCCCAACATTTCTCAATGGGATTACAATCTGGAGACTTTGCTGGCCATGAC